AGTCATCCAACCCTCCAGCCCCCACTCATACCTTCACCTTCACATGCTCTGTTGTAGCAGAGGCGCCCCGACTGCCTCCGCTGTCATGCTCCTATGGTCCTTTTTGTGTTTGGTGCATTTTGGGCGTGGGTGGATCCTCCATGGCAGTGGGAGCTCATGACATAATGTCAGATCACTTGCTGTGTCTGAAGGTCTTTCGAAAGGATTGTCTTAAATACAAGTTTACAGGGGAGATGCTTTTTAATGAACTTGAAGTTTATAAGCATCTCGCATCATCGATGCCATGCCCTGCAGTTAAATTTATCATGGGCCTCGAATTGTCATTCCAGACGAAGGATCATATATGTTTTGCCATGGTATGTCCCTTTCCCTGCGAGCCATTTAATTTTGACTCCATTGGACATCTATAGGATCTTATGGCGAGTGACCTATACAATTATATGGCGCATCATGGTTCAGATTGTTACCTACATGCTTGCAGGTGGACTGCACAAATAGTAAGTGGTTTTCTTTCCTGGGTTTCGCTGTCTTGTACCTCCACTTTGAAGGCCCTCGGGATCAACACTCTACATGAGATAGGGATTATCCACCGGGATATCAAAGCTGGAAACATCCTGATCAACGCTCGAGAGAACATGCGGATCAGTGACTTTGGCTTATCCTATTTGTATAAAGACCAGGGGCCCTTGGATTGTCATTTGGTATATACGTCAATTGGGGTTGGAACAATATGCTGCATGGCACCGGAAGTGTTGCACAACAGATCTGACCTCAGTCCTGTAAAGTATGGAACACCTGCTGATTGGTGGTCATTTGGATGTGTCATCTACGAGCTTGTTTCGAGGATGCATAAGGCACGTTTTGCGTCTTCCTTCGCTGCTATCTTACTGATACCATTTTTTTCAGGCACTCTTTACTACAGAGGGTGATTTATTAGCTTATGTTTCTTGGTGCTCCAGCCATGATAGTGCATCTGAGCTGTACTCTGCCTTTGGATGTGTGTCTCCAAAAGTCGTTTCTTTGCTCAGAGGGGTAAGTTTTGTGTTGCATTTTTTTCCAACATCACCACTTATATTTTACACGGTAGCTATTGGATCCTAACCCATCATCACGATACGGATTTGATGAGGTTGCAGACCATCAATTGTTCTTGCTCCCATCTGGCGAGTCAGAATTCTACGATGTGTACCCACTGTGGTAAGTAAGATCTGATTTGTCTGAGAACATCGAACCCAAAACGCACTGCAGCCCTCAAGCGCAAGGAACTGCCAGACTCACTGCCAGATTTACGATACGACCCAAAGACTCAGGGAACAGAAATCTGGCATCGCACTCCGTTCTGGGACAAATTGCGCATGCCAGGCATAGATTGGATGAAGCTGGTGTTGTTTTATTCCTTATGATGTCCTCAAGTTTGTATTTGTTCCATCACAATGGTCTCGTTTCAACTACTTCATTCCACTGCATCTTTCTATTCTGCTACACATTTCAAATCATGAATGCAACTCAGTGTAGGTATCTTAGCGCTCACATGCATCTTTCCAGCTTCTGCATGCATGAATGCTGCCAGCTAGCTGTTCCGAAGTTCTTGATGGTCTCCATTCATTAGTGTCACTGATACAAGTACGCCAATTAAATATTTTTGAAAGTGTTCAAGTATCGAGCAGTGGATAACTTGTGTCACTGCTGGTCAATATGCTAATCTGCAAACTGGCCAGCCATCAGGACTTTCGTCGACGGTGGTGTTTAAGTGATGCTGACTGGTATTATGACAACTTGCTCCTCAATCAGCACTCACCAGCAACAGCGCACCCGACTATTTATGCATAGAGGTGGTTATTTACATAAATCAAAGTTCATATAGGAAGTATTTGTGACTATTTGTTGTGTGCCACGTAAGGAGTTTCGGTTTGCATTAATCCCACAAAATCACAAAGCAACTTTCATTTCTTCTTCTTCACTCGTCCGCTCCTGGACTTCAAGCTACAATGAGCGGCTGTAAGTTTTAAATAGACAGCGTATTATTTAACTGGTACTCACTGTAGCTGCTTACAGTCCGGTTTCTGAATCTTGTCCGACCATTCCTTCCACTTCTACCCGAGGTTTCCTCACCTGATCGCAAAGTATGTGCTATGCATGCGTTTTTAGGTTATAGCATGCAAGACTCATCAGTTTCCTTCGTTTTTAGGTTCCTTTCAACCAAAAGCTGCTATGGACCGCCGTGACGCTTCTCATTTTCTTGGTCTGCTCTCAAGTACCATTATATGGCATCATGTCTTCAGATTCGTCTGATCCTCTTTACTGGATGCGTGTCATCCTCGCGTCAAACCGTGGAACCCTCATGGAGCTCGGTATTAGCCCTATTGTTACGTCCGGGATGATCATGCAACTATTGGCTGGCGCAAATTTAATCGAGGTCGACTTCAGCTTGAAGGAAGACCGGGCACTGTTCAGCGGTGCACAAAAATGCACGTGTCACTTGACCGCTTTCCGAACTTGTACTGACAGATACTTGTTTTAGTGTTTGCTTTGATCATTTCACTCGGCCAGGCTACTGTATATGTTTTGACTGGTCTTTATGGGCAACCAAGTGATCTCGGTGCTGGTGTTTGCCTTCTGCTCATCATCCAGCTTGTCGCTGCTGCCCTCATCGTGATCCTCCTCGACGAGCTTCTCCAAAAAGGTTACGGCCTAGGGTCCGGTATCTCCCTTTTTATAGCAACCAACATCTGCGAATCCATCATCTGGAAGGCCTTCTCACCTACAACTGTTAACACTGGTCGTGGCCCTGAGTTTGAAGGTGCCATCGTCGCACTCTTCCACCTACTCTTCACGTGGAACGACAAGGGACGTGCTCTCCGCGAGGCGTTCTGGCGTGACAGGCTACCAAACATCATGAACCTCCTTGCGACTGTCGTAGTGTTTGCCGCTGTGATCTATATGCAAGGCTTCCGCATTGAGATCCCCGTCAAGAGCAACAGATTCCGTGGTCAGCGCGGCAGCTACCCCGTCAAGTTGTTCTATACTAGCAACATGCCCATCATGCTCCAGAGCGCACTTGTCTCAAATGTGTTCATTGTGTCGCAAATGCTCGCAACGCGCTTCCCGTCCAACATCTTGGTCAAGATTCTTGGCGTCTGGGAGGTCGGTTATCTTTAACTTGATGGTTGAATGGGCACTAAAAGTATATCACAGCCTCTAGAAGATTCTCCCCAGCTTCGCGCCGTAGCTGGCATCGCATACTACATGTCACCTCCACACACCGTCAGAGAGGCCTTGCTCGATCCCATTCATACACTCCTCTACATCACATTCGTAGTTTCTGCCTGCGCACTTTTCTCGAAAACCTGGATTGAGGTGTCTGGCAGTGGCCCACGCGAGATCGCTAAACAACTCAAAGACCAACAAATGGTCATGGCTGGTCATCGTGAGGGTTCGATGTATAAGGAACTCAAGCGCGTTATTCCTACCGCGGCTGCATTCGGAGGCGCTATTCTGGGCCTGCTTTCTGTTGCTGCTGATCTCATGGGCGCTATTGGAAGTGGAACAGGTATTCTGATGGCTGTCACCATCATCTACAGCTGTAAGTACTTCTGTCCTCCCCGAAAAGAACATTCGCGTTGACCGACATATGCCTTGCGTTTTAGATTGGGAGATTGGAATCAAGGAGAGTGGGGGATCCGAAATGGCAGCGCTGAGTGACCTGATGTAAATATCGGAATTGTAGCCGTTGTTGAGTCTCTGCTTGAATACACGGACCTGATCCAAAACCTCGCTGATTGATGTTTGTTATCACAACGGCAAGAGTGAGTAGACTGCTCACTCCACAGCTGAAAGAAGCATTACACCCACCACGATACTACTGCTGGCTAGAAGACGAAAGGAACATGTAGAACAAAAAGATGTTTCCGCATCTGCTGGCGGAGCCTTAGGGAGCTGTAAGTGTCTTCAATGCTGCCACCTTTGCTGTAGCTGCCAAATCCGCCACCACTGCTGAGAAGGGCGCGTTTGGTATGGACACAGCCTGATTATTCCTTTAAACGCGCCTGGGCTAATTCTCTACATAGCATTGAGCTCGACAAGGTCAGACGGAAACAAGAATCTCATTGATGATTTGAGAACACTATTCGTCACGCTAACAGGCAACAAGAGGTGTACCACTGGACGAGGCAGAGGACGCAGTTATCAACCAAATCGTGGCAATGGCAGATCTCGGTGGGTTTCCCCTATGACGCAACAACCCTATAGAAAGCCGGACAAGCGCGCTCCGTTACACAATGCCTCCGGGACGGTCAACAAAAGTTATGTGACGCAGCCTGGGCTTTTCCGTCTACATAGTGCGTATCTAGCTTTCATCGAACATCGATGAAATGATCAAAGTGGAACATCGGAGTAGGGATATGTGTACGGTGTGAGACTTAAGTGTGTCATGTCCATCATATGCATATACAGCTATAATTACTGACATTGCAAGGCTGCGCCGTGGACTGATCTACCCCCTCCTTCATGGTGCTACCATTTTTTGTGTCCTTCAAGTTACACGTCTTACCATTGAACGAAAATTCCGGTATGTAATTAGACTGATACATTTTTGATGCACGCCAACACGACCAATCACTAGCAACTTGAGTGTTCCACAATATGTCGATGTGAAAAGCAGAAATATGACTCACTCTGGAGAAAAATCAGTCCTGCCATGCAGGTGAGTTGTGTATCAAATCCAGTAAAACTACTAATACGCATACCCCCATATACCAGACATCCCGATCCCAGTAGGTATACACATCGCAGGGTGTCTGGCCCGATCCAAGAACTAAATTACGTCAACCACTGCCAGTACGAGTACCGTGCAGACAGCGACGCAAGCCTGGCGATGACGATCAGTACTAGTACAAGATGGGCTACTACCGCTTTGTGAACTGTTTGAGGTCTGACAATATTGTGATCGGTCAACCGCATGGTAGCTAATTGAGATTCATTGTGATGGGCACTATGCCATCGGCCGACTAGCTCAGTTGGTTAGAGCGTCGTGCTAATAACGCGAAGGTCTTGGGTTCAATCCCCACGTTGGCCATACTTTTTGCTCACCACCCATCCTAATCCCGACTCCCAATCCAATTAATCCAAGTATTAGTAGTAATAGTAGTAGTAGTACTCGATACTAACATCATACACCCCTGCTACATCAAATAAATCAATTCATCGTATCTTTGGGCTTAAAAGTCCAAATCTCCACAACAGTCTTTCCCGCCCTCTTACACATAACTGCACAAACTCCCTTCTTATAAAGCACCTTCCACACACTTTCGGACCGCTCGCTCAGATCGCGCACCCAATTTCCAGTCTGCGTCTCAAATACACGCACGCGGCCGTCATTCCCACCAGTGATGAGGAAGTTGGCGTCGAATTGGAGAGAGGTGACGCTACTGTCGTGCGCGGCGAGACGTTGAAGGGCGGTGAATGAGCGTAGGGAGAAGGTGATTACGCGTCCGTCGGAGCCGCCTGTGGCGAGGAGGCTAGTGGTGGTGCTCAGTTGGAGTTGGCAGACTAGGGCGGTGTGGCCTGTGAGTTGGGCAATGCAGTTTCTGTGTGGTGAGGTGTGAGAGGGGGAGTATGAGGAATGGAGGGGACATACCCTGTGGTTGCGTCCCATACTCTGACAATGGTGTCCATGCCACCTGAAGCGACGAGGTTGCCGTCAATTGCGATGGAGTATATTTGGTGGCTGTGTCCACGGAGGACTCGTATGCATTCACCTGTGTCGACGTCCCATATCTGCAAATCGTCAAAACCATGACCTCGCCCCGGAGAAATAAGAAGAGATAAGACTGACTCGACATGTGGTGTCGTAACTACCGCTGACGACCTTGTTCCCACATACGTCAAGACATCTTACGCTCGCGGTGTGGCCGTGGAGGACACGGAGCATGATTCCCTTTTGGATGTTCCATACACGGAGAGTAGAGTCTCGAGAGCCTGTCACTGCGATAGGGCGGTTGTGCAGTACTCGGGCACATCTGACGGTGGCGGTATGCCCGCGAAGGACGTAGACACAATGTCTAAGCGCCCGTAAGCCCAAAGCCGCAACCAGACGAATGCAGGAACATACCCAGATTTGGCATCCCAGACGCGAAGGGTCTTGTCGCAACTGGCACTGACGATGATAGAGTTCGGTTGTCCCCATCCTTCGCTTGTACAGCAAATATCGCTCGGCTTCGAAGAGTCGCTTCCAACGCTCGGTGGGTATTGCATTCGCCTGCGCTTGTCGATGCCGAGCGCAGTTTTTAGGGCTGCGGGTACGACTGGATCGTCTGCATCATCTGGGTATCCGTCTTCATCCATCTTCCCGCGACCCCAATAGCCGCCGCGGCAGACGAGATGGACTGCCCACACGCCTAGTTCGTGACCCATGAGCGTTCGGCTGAGTACGCCTGTGATCGCACTGAATAGATGGATCTTGGAATTTGCTAGGCCGACGACTATCCATTCTGTGTCAAGGGCTACGGATGTGACTACACCACTGTCTGGTGTTGGAATTGGCATGCGGTGAGCGCGGATAAGATTACCACCCTTCCTCAGGTTGAGCACTGGATAGTAAATTAGCAAAGGTACGCGTGATAATAAGCGACATACTTGTACCATAAGCACGCCTGAAATACACTTGATGAGAAAACTGAGTTTTGGAAAGATACTCTGAAGAGTATGGAGCCCAGTGAGATACGGAAGTGAGTTCTGGGCGTTTGAGTCGATCTCGTGCAGTGAGCCATGGGTCTATTGGATTCGAAGTGAATTTATCCATCTCGTCCCAAGATTCGTCATCTTCAAATAGACCAGTACTAGACCTATCTTCTGGATCTGCTCTGAAGCTGTATGTGTCGCATAAGACCTTCCAGAGCCAGTCATCTGCGACAAGGTCGTGCCAGCGTTTGCAGACTTGGCTTGCGCGTGCGAGGGTGCATGGATCGTCGACATAAGATAGGATGTGAAGGGCGAGTTCTGCTGGTAATTCTGTCAGAACATCGCGTTTGAGCATGGGGGTTATTGTTTGTGAAATGTAACGGAGTTCTGCTGGGGAGCATTCATGGAGGATTGAGATGAGGTATTGTTTGCGTGAGGTAGGGCCTAGAGATGAGAATTCTGATGATGATGTCGAGTAGGGAAACGGGGATGGACGAGGAGAGGGGGCTGGTGTTGGTGGTGATATGATTGGCATAGTAGTGCGAGGTCAAGCCAGGAGGCGCCCATTTTTAGACGAGTGATGATCATGTGACTACTCTTGATGTGCTACGCAGACCTCTTGAATTTTCATTGTACAGGGGACGCATACAACTGTTCTAATGACAAGAAAGAAGACTCTGGCAAAGAAAAAGCAGGCACAGGCTGCTGCAAACAGCCAAACGTATGTTCTCAATCACTGTGTTCAACACCAATTGACCTCCTCTGATAGCAAAAATCTACCGTCTTCCGAGTCCGAGAGACCATCGTCACCGACGATCCCCATCCCTCAGGGCCCTTCTGCAGATGACGTAAAAGAGCAAGGTAATGTAGCCTTCAAAGCAAAACAATACACAGAAGCTATCGAACTATATACCAAAGCTATCGGTACAGAAATCACAATTACCCTCTCCTTCTTCACTGACACAAACACCCCCAGATATCAAATCAACGGAACCATCATATCTCACTAATCGCGCAGCCTCTTACATGGCTTTAAAACGCTTCCGACCCGCACTGTCAGACTGCCAACAAGCAGCTACACTCCAATCCGCAGAACCTTCAGCAAAAACCCTCATCCGTCTTGCACGTTGTCAATTTGCACTCGGTTTATCAGAACCTGCATTGTCAACACTGCGCTCTGTCCTCGATCTCGAACCTACAAATGCTGCTGCTGCACAACTGAAAGACAAGGTTCTCGAACTAGAAACTCATCTACGTACCTTCGAGTTTTCTCGCACACGCAAGGAATGGGGCATGGCACGTCTCGCATTAGATAAATGTCTACAAAGCATCGAAGCAGAAGGCGGCGAGATACCAACTCAGTGGCGGCTATGGAGAGTCGAACTTGAGCTCTCTAGAGGGAACTGGGATGCTGCCAACATTGCTGCTAAGTGAGTCTGACCCAATCACCACAGATCTCTGGACATTAACGAGACTCTTCCAGCGATGCTCTTCGATTAGAACCAAACTCACCCGAAGTACTTGCACTTCGTGGTCTCGTCCTCTTCCTCAGCGGTAAATTATCCCAGGCGCTACAACACGTGGCCTCGGCGCTTCGCCTCGATCCTGGACACGAGCCTGCCCATCGCTTGCGTAAGCGCGTCAAGGACGTAGAGCGCCTCAAAGAAGAGGGAAACACCGCCTTCAAAGGTAGCAGACTCCAAGACGCAATCGCACGATACACAGAAGCGCTTGACGTACGTCCCTTCTCATTCACGAATACTCGTACTGATCCACCATCTCAGCGAATAGGCGAAATCGAAGAAGAAGGTAAAGGTGGTCAGATCCGCGCCACCCTTCTCTCAAATCGTGCCACGACGCTCGTAAAGGTACATCCTCGACCGCCTCATACCACGCATTCTCACACCATTCACAGCTTGACAAATACGAAGAAGCACTCCTAGACACGGAAGCCTCTCTCGCACTCTACTCCACCTCCTTCAAAGCCCTCCGCACACGCGCGCGCATCAATCTCCATCTCGAGAAATACGATGCTGCAATCGCTGATTTCAGAGCGTCCATGGAACAAGCCGAGTTCGAGGGTGTAGATGCGGATGTTAGGGCTTTGAGAAGTGAACTTAAGAAAGCGGAAGCTGCACTCAAGAGGAGTAAGACGAAGGACTATTATAATATCCTCGGTGCGTCCTTTTCTGTGCTGGAAGTGAGTGTCATGAATGTTTATGACCGCACATAGGCATCGCGAAAGACTGCACCGAACTCGAGATCAAGAAAGCCTACAGACGCGAAAGCCTCAAGCACCACCCAGACAAAGGAGGCGATGAGGAGAAATTTAAACTGGTAGTAGAAGCGCACGCGGTCCTGAGCGACCCCCAACGCCGCGAACGCTACGACATGGGCGAAGACGAGGATGGACAGACGGAGGGTGGGATGGGGGGCGCTGGGGCATTCAATACGGCTGATTTGGCGGAGATATTCAGTCAATTTCAGGGCGGGTTTGGTGGGGGGCAGTTTGGGGGCGGAGGGGGAGGGTTTGGCGGAGGTGGGGGGCAAGGAGCTAGTTTCCATTTTCATTCGGGGGGGAGGCAGCATGAGTTTCATTGAGCGGTTCGACCATATGAGAACTTTTTTTTGTGTCTGCGTTGGATTTATGAGGACATACATAACGCGGTATCGATTCCATGCTACAGCGCGAGGATCTGCTTGCTGTCAGTTTTTTAGATAACAGTCTCGCTGCTTTCATCGAGAGTACAGACCCGACACTTTATTATAGCGGACTCCTGGCCAGGCTTAGAGATTCTATCACTGGGACATAATAAGAGATACTGATAGACTCGACCTTCGAGTTTGAGATTGTATTTCAGATGCTAGGCTATGCAGTAAACAAATCGTAGTCGTTCTGTGTATCCGTTGCACATGCAAGTGGCGAAATATTGTACTGAGTACTGGTGTGGACCGGCTACTACCTATGTCTGAGTCTCTATATCGGCCTTGAAGTCGATACCAGTAGCTGCGTCCGCCATGGAACCGAAAGTAGGTAACGTTCACCGGCTGGATTGCGGCTCAACGAGCTCACAAGTTGCCCACCACCATCCAGCCGAGTCAACCATGCCCGAAACTGCCAGTGGGCGATCATGACCGAAATTTTCGCCAATTTCACAGCTGGCTCGTCAAAACAAATGATAGGGATTAGCCTTCCCTAGCCAGTCCATGACAGAAGGAAGACAGACGGCCTTTCTGAATTACGACCGGGGATAATCGATAGCCAGTGACGGGAATTGCAAGCCGTCCATGACGCCCATGGTGAACAATATATCATGATGTCGAGACGGCTCGACCACCGCGTTGATAATTTCATGCTGTTCCGATACAAATGTCCTTTATTTTATCAAGGGTTGG